TTTTTCCCCGTTTTTCCGATCCCCAATTCCCGTTTTTTCCCCGTTTTCCCCTCTCACCTTCGTAGGCCTTGGCCGCGCTCACCAGCGTCGCCCACTCCAGCCCGGCCGTGTCGGGCAGCGGGATCAGCCCCGGCTCCAGCCGCCCCACGGCCCCTGGGAATGCCCAGAATTCCCAAAATTCCTCAAATCCCAGAAAAATCCCGCCTGCAACCCCCCAGGAAACCCCAAAATCCTGGGGAAAACCCCCCCGAAATCCCCCTTTTTCCACCCAAAAGCCGCTTCCCCCACCCAAACCCGCCCCAAAACGCAGGAAATTCCTCAATTCCCAAAAAAGAAAAAAAATTCCCCCAAAATTTCCCCAATAATTCCCAAAAAACTCTCAAAAAAAAAATCCCTAAAAATTCCCAAAAAATAAAAAAATAAATCCCCAAAAAATTCAAAAAAAAATCCCAAAAAATTCCCTAAAAATCCCCCAAAATTCCCCAAAAAAATCCCAAAAAATTCCCTAAAAATCCCCCAAAAAAATCCCAAAAAATTCCCTAAAAATCCCCCAAAATTCCCCAAAAATTCCCTAAAAATCCCCCAAAATTCCCCAAAAAATCCCAAAGAATTCCCTAAAAATCCCCCAAAATTCCCCAAAAAATTCCCAAAAATTCCCCCCACCCCTCCCCGGCCATTCCCGTTTTTCCGTACCCGTTTTCCCGGTCCCGTGGTGGCCGCTGCGGCCGGGCAGGGTCCGGGTGCCGCTCCCGGCGCTTCCCGGGAAATCCTTGGGAATCTCCCGCCGCGGGGTGGGGGAGGGGCCGCGCCCCCCGCAGAGGCTCTCGTCCGACAGCGTCCTGGGCAGCGCCTGCAATTCCCAAAATTCCCAACGATCCCGGCATCCCGGGAATTCCCAAACCCGCCCCGGCCGTTCCCGTCCCAAGAAAACCGGGAATTCCCCGAGAAAACCGGGAATTCCCGAGGTTTTTCCGGCAAAAGTGAGGAATTCCTGGGTTTTTCCATTGAAATTGAGATGTTTCCCGGTTTTTTCCCAATAAAAATGGGGAATTCCTGAATTTTTCCATTAAAAACGGGGGAATTCCCAGTTTTTTCCACTGAAATTGAGAAAATTCCAGGTTTTCTCCAACAAAAATGACGAAATTCCCAATTTTTTCACCTGAAATCGGAATTTTTCCCACTTTTGGGGCTAAATCTGGGAAATTCCTGCATGGGAGGGGCTGGGAATTGGGGGAATTTTGGGAATTCTGGGGGAATTTCGCGAAAAAGATCGGGAATTCCAACTTTCTGCTCCCAAAAAATGGCAAAAATTCCCATTTTGGGGGCGAAAAACTTGGGAATTTCCGGTTTTTGGGGGGGATTTAGAGGGCTGGGAGGGGTTGGGAATTGTGGGAATTGTGGGAATTGTGGGAATGGTGGGAATTGTGGGAATGGTGGGAATTGTGGGAATGCCGGGAATTGTGGGAATTGTGGGAATTGTGGGAATTGTGGGAATGGTGGGAATTGTGGGAATTGGAATTGTGGGAATTGTGGGAATGTCGGGAATTGTGGGAATTGTGGGAATTGTGGGAATGTCGGGAATTGTGGGAATTGTGGGAAATGTGGGAATTGTGGGAATGTCGGGGCTCTCACCGGGGCGGGCTCGGGCTCGGGGCAGGAATTGTCCATCAGGATCAGGCGCTTGAGGTCGTCCTCGATGGAGGATTTGGGGAGGCGCCGGGGGGAGCGGAGATCGCGCAGGGACGCCCGGAGCCGCGGCTGCCCGAACACGTTCACCTGGCTGGGGGGGGGAATTCCCGGAATTCCGTGGAAATTCCATGGAAATTCCAGGGGAAATCCCATCAAAATCCCGGAAAAAACACAAAAATCCCATTAAAATCCATCAAAATCCCATTAAACTCTCCCAAATCCCGGAGCCGCGGCTGCCCGAACACGTTCACCTGGCTGGGGGGGGAGTTCCCGGAATTCCGTGGAAATTCCAGGGGAAATCCCGGGAAATCCAACCAAAATCCCAGGAAAAACCACAAAAATCCCATTAAAATCCACCAAAATCCACCCAAATCCCAAATTTCCCCTCCCAAATCCCAACTTTTCCCTCAAAAATCCCAGATTTTCCACTCCCAGATCCTGATTTCCCTTTCCCAAATCCCAGATTTCCACTCCCAAATCCCGATTTTCCCCAGCCAAATCCCGTTTTTTCCCGGAATTCCGCCGGGACCTTTTGTGCTCTGGGGGCTCGTCCGGGCGCCTCCAGCCGGGGGCGGCGCCTTTGGCTCTTCCCGGCCTCTGGGAAAATCCGGATTTGGGACCCGGAGCCGAAATCTGGGAAGCGCCGAGAGGCCTGGAGGGGGAAAAACGGGAATTCAAAAAAGAAAAAATGGGAATCTTCACAGAAAACTGGGAATTTTTAACCAAAGGAAAAGCGGGAATTTGGGCGCGGGTCCCACCTGGTCGCTTGGAAAGCCTCGGGAAGGGCAGAATTCCCGGATTTGCCGGGAGCCGAATCCTTGGAGCTTTTCTGGGAATTCCAGGGCCCTCGGGAGCCTTTCCGGGAATTCTGGGAATCGCCGGAGTCGGGCTCGGCCTCGCTGGAGGCAGAGCTGGACAGGGACGAGGGGCTGGGATGGGGCGGCTCCTGCTGCGGGAACAGCGGGAATTCCGGGAATTCCAGGAATTCCAGAGGGGCGGGAGCCCAAAAATCCCCGGAATTCCGGAGGGATTTGGGCAATTCGGAGGGGTTTGGGGGGATTTTTGAGGATTTTTTGGGAATTCCGGGGTTTTTTTGGGAATCCTGGGATCGGGCTCTCACCTTGGCCAGGCGGTTGGGGGAATCCTTCCCGCCGGGCTCGGGACGCGCCGGGCGCTTCCCGGGAATCCGCGCCGGAGCCGGGATGTGCCAGAGGGGCTCTGGAAGCACCGGAACGGGATCGGGAATGTGGGGAATGGGGCAGGGAATTCGGGAATTTGGGATTGGGAAAGGGCCGGGATCAGGACGGCGCCGTTCCCGCCCCTGATCCCGAGCCCTGATCCCAAATTCCCCTCCCCATTCCTGAATTCCCTCCCCATTCCCGAATTTCCGTACCTGCCTTGAGCCTCTCGGCGCCGCCCTCGTGTCCCATCCCGGCGGCCTCGGCGTGCCCGGAATTCCCGGAATTCCCAGGATTCCCAGGATTCCCAGGATGCGGCTCCGCCGGGAACGCCGCCCCCCTCTGCGGCCTGCCGGGAAAAAATCGGGAATTCCGGGGATCCCACACCCGGAAAAATCCCATTTTCCCCCCATTTGCCCCCCTTCTTTCCCGTTTTCCCAATTTTTCCCAATTTTTCCCCATTTCCCCCCGATTTTTCCCGATTTTCCCACCTTTCCGGGGGCCCTTTGGCGCTTCCCGGCGCGGAGAAGCTTCCGGAAGGTTGGCGGAAGGCGGAGGAGCCGCTGGAATGAGGCGACTCCGGGAAACTCAGGGGCCTGGGAAAATTGGGGAAAATTGAGGAAAATTGGGGAAAATTGGGGAAAATTGAGCGAAATGAAAAAATGGAGGGGAAAAATTGGGGGGAATCCTGAGAATTTTGGGGGCAATTCTGGGAATTTTGAAGGGAATTCCAGGAATTTTGGGAGGAAACCGAGGGGAACCAAATCCCAGGAATTTCGGGGGGGTTTTGGGGGGACCGGAATCCCAGGATTCGGGGATTCCCGGGATTCACCTCTTGCCGTGGCCGGGCTGAGGTTCGCGGTGCGCGGCTCCGGGCGGGGCCGGCGCCCGTTTGGCGCCGCCGCGGTGCCAGCCCGGCCCGCTCCGGAACGGGGCCCGGAAAGCTCCCGGGAACGGCTCCGGGAAAGGATCCGGGAACGGCTCCGGGAACGGCTCCGGGAACGGCTCCGGGAAAGGATCCGGGAACGGCTCCGGGAACGGCTCCGGATCCGCCTTGGGCTCCACCGGCCCCGGCAGCGCCTCCGACCAAGCCCTGAGGGAACAGCGGCGGCCTCGGAACAACGGGAACAACAACGGGAACAACAACGGGAACAACGGGAACAACGGGAACAACAACGGGAACAACAACGGGAACAACAACGGGAACAACGGTCACAACAACGGGAACAACAACGGGAACAACAACGGGAACAACGGGGATGGGAACAGGAACAACGGGAACAACGGGGACAGGAACAACGGGAACAACAACGGGAACAACAACGGGAACAAGGGGGACAACGGGAACAATGGGAACAGGAACAACGGGAACAATGGGAACGGGAACAACGGGAACGGGAACAACGGGAACAACGGGAACAACGGGAATGGGAACAGGAACAACAGGAACAATGGGAATGGGAACAACAACGGGAACAACGGGAACAATGGGAACAAAGGGAACAATGGGAATGGGAACAGGAACAACAGGAACAACGGGAACAACGGGAATGGGAACAACAACGGGAACAATGGGAACAACGGGAACAATGGGAACAGGAACGGGAACAACGGGAACGGGGACGGGAACAACAGGAACAAGGGGGATGGGAACAGGAACAACGGGAACAACGGGAACGAGGACGGGAACGGGAACAGGTGAGATGGGGACAGGTGGCACCAATGGCACTGGAATGGCACCAACGGCACCCAGGACACCAAGATGGCACCGAGGACACCAAGATGGCCCCAGTGGCACCCAGGACACCCAGACGTCCCCAAGGCCACCCACGGAACGCCGCCATCACCACCCAACCCCCCCCCCCCCGAAGCCCCGCCCACCTCCGGGGCGTGCCGTCGTCGTGCGGCGGCGCGATGACCACGGTGACGGTGACCGAGGTGCGCAGGAGGTCGATCATCTGCTCGTGGCTCAGCGCCACGGCCGCCACCTTGCACACCTCCAGCAGGCGGCTGCCGCGGCGCAGCCCGGCCTGCCAGGCGAAGCCGTACTCCTCCACCTCGGCCACGGAGCCGTCGGGGTGCACGTGGAAGCCCAGCTGGCCCAGCCCGTTGCGCCGCAGCGTCATGTCCACCGTGGCGCAGCCCGGAGTGGTGGCCTGCAACGGGATCCCGCCGGATCCGGGGTGGGAAAGAGATCCCGGTGGATCCAGTGTTTGGGGATCCCACGGGATCCGGGGTTTGGGGATCCCAAGGGATTCAGGGGTTTGGGGATCCCGCTGGATTCAGGGGTTTGGGGATCCCACGGGATTCGGGGTTTGGGGATCCCGCTGGATTCAGGGGTTGGGGATCTCATGGGATTCGCGGTTTGGGGATCCCACCGGATCCAGGGTTTGGGGATCCCATGGGATCCGGGGTTTGGGGATCCCGCTGGATCCAGTGTTTGGGGATCCCACCGGAATTGGGGGTTGGGGATCCCACGGGATTCAGGGTTTGGGGATCCCATGGGATTCGCAGTTTGGGGATCCCACGGGATCCGGGGTTTGGGGATCCCGCTGGATCCGGGGGTTGGGGATCCCGCCGGATTTGGGGGTTGGGAATCCCACGGGATCCGGGGTTTGGGGATGTGAGGGAGGGTTGGGGTTGGGATGGTTCGAGGTTTGGGGTTCCGCAATCTTTGGGATTGGCCGAT